ATCGGCCGCCGGAAAGCGTCGCGGATATGCTCGAATGTTGAACAGAAAACAAACGCACCTTTCACTTCCAGACATCAAGGAAAACCTGAGTGCGACCGCCGGCGAAATCCAGTCGAACCAACCGTTGTAATTAGAAATTTGTATAAACATACCTGCCTCTTTTTCTCTCGATTACAGGAACAGTCCAAGGTCAAAAGTCCTTTGACGAACGTCCATTAAGACCGATAAAGTAAAAGGGTCGAAAAAAAAAGATGAATATTGAGTCGTCCCGTGGGGGAACTCAGAGTGCTAAGGAGCAAAAATAAGAGAAGAACAATGGAGAATTTCTAAACTGATGATGACGGATTCAATAGAAAGGGAGATTTTAATCACTTCAATCCAAATCTCTCCAAGCGAGCCCGCTTCTTCTGCTCTATCTCATCCTAAAAATGAAATTGGGACATATCGTGCTGAAGCCAGAATCTCAGCACAAGTAGGAACATCAACTTACATCGAGAGCTGCACCAGTTTTTACTGCAACCGGCTTAGTTTGAACTTTGACTGGGTCCTGAAAAGAATCAGCTTGTGAAAGACACGCACAGTCAACAAATCTGTTTTCAGCGGGGGGAATGTGCAAAAAGAATGCCAATTCATTATTGCCTTGTGAAACCTGTAGACCGCGTTCAGACTTTGCGATCGCGCGACTACGATCGCTCCAACGCCAGGCGATGCGCCATCGCAACTTTAGATAAATTGGTTTGCGTTCGCACAGTGCCAATTTGAATTTTGCCGTTACGACGGTACACCGCTGGGCAGCATAGTGGCCTCAGCTGTTGTCGCGCAATCCGATCGAGCGATTTAGTCGCGTGATCGCGAAGTTTGAACGCGATCGCAGAGAATACCATGATTTGCCCTAAATATCCCTCAGAAGCTACAATTTAATGCTTTGAAATTACTAATTTAATGCACACATCAATATATACAACCCCAAGGGACTACCAGCTGATAATTTTCGACTCTTACAGCCCGCTCATACTTTGCCACATGTCCTACAATGCCAAAAGATCGCAAAGATCGTCCAGACAAATCACTTACGCGATCATAACGAGCAAATCGCGTGGTATGAACGCACGCTTACAAAACTGATCTCGGCATATTCGCGTGCTACTGAAGTACAGTGAGGTGCGATAACCGCTGTACGAGAACTGGTTGTACATCCTCCCTTCAAACTAAGCTTTGAGGGGAGCGAATCACCCTCCCCCTCCCCCCTTCGAGCGACCTCCTTCAACTATGGTCAAGCCAGTTCCATTTTACGAAAGAAAAAAAAATCGAGAGAAATCATGCAGCCTACCTTAGGCGCGACTGTTTTTCCTTGTCGTGTCACTCTGCCCCAAACCGAATCAAACGAAATGAGTTAACAGTTAAAGTGTATACCTCTGCAGTAGTGGTAAAGGAGTTTTCTCTTCTTACTTTCAACGCGCAATAAATTACTGGACCTTTGCCTCGATCAAAACGTTTTTTCTTTCGTTCTTCATCACTATAGAGAGATCAAGCTCCGGCGATGTTTGCCCGGTCAATCCAAATCTTAAATAAGGCGATTAAAGGTTTTTCTAAAAGTGCCCACGAAAAGGCGGACCTTTCAGCTCTTTTGGCTTTCATTTCCTTTTCGGAACTTACGATGTAGCAAGTCACAAATCTAAATTATCACTATAAAAACAAAAACCATGCTTATGACAACATCTTACCGTTCATGCTCTTTTTCCCTTTCAACGCGGTAATCTGTACTGCCAGCAACTGAGGTAAAACCGAAACGTGCGCCACGTTTAAGTTTCGCCATCAAGAGCCAATGATCTGAGTGGTGTGAGAGCCGCGGTTGAGCTGGAAAACACATTTTCCACTGTGTGTAGATTTCCGAACAGTGTCGTAAAAACTAATAAACACAAATACTACCAATCCACCAGTTTCTAGATTTTTGACATACCATTTACATGAATTGAGTTCTCACCGACAAGCAAGCAAAAGAATAAGAAAGTAAGTGCCATACCCTTTCTTTTTTATCAGGAGAAGATGGTTGCAGGCTTTGTTCCTCTGCTTTCCTTTCAGTCATATACTTCGCTCGAATTATTCTCTGAGTAACATTCTTGACCCCACATCATCGTTTAGTAGGTCCTCTTGCATGAGACAGTTCACAAATTGAGATTATCAGCGATTACATTATCCGTGCGTTCATCGGAAATTCGATACCGTGTGTAGGGATAAAAATGATTTTTTTCTTCCATTTACATAGCTTAATGGCTCTAAGCTTTTTTTCCGATCTCTTAGAGAAATTCCGATTGTGTTCACGTTTAGTGAAGCCTAAGAATGCTTATACGACACTGAGTATCTCTAAATATTACCGCTCTGGATAGATAGGTCACCATAGCCGCTCGTCTTCCATTATGTGAGAATCTCACTTTCCTCAGGCCTAGATCATGATTGTTAGCATTTTGAGCATATAAGGGCATACTCGAGTCAGTAAGCCTCAACTTTAAACTAGTTAAACGGCGTACAACACGGTCATAAATTTTATTTCCTTGATCGTAAGCTTAAACAGCAAGTAAAGTCTTGAACCTTGCAAATGCCAGTCAATACCCTGAGGTAACGGCTCGGACTCTTAAAATTCAGTTAATAAAATCAATAATATCGGTGGACAACTCACTGCGAAAAAGTCAAGAACTTATTTAATTATCTTTTAAAAACAGACGCAGAAAATAATGGTCATCAACAGAACTACTGCTCAACAAGGGAGATGGTCATGGTTCCAAGGCCTTTTTTGAAAGATTACCAGTCCACCGAAGTAGAAACAATGAGCGCCGACAGACGGAAAAATGTAGACATTATGTACATCATTAATATTTATTCCTGCTACGCAACACTTACAATCCTATACGGAGGCACTTAATACTCATGTAAAACCAACCTTTTGCAGCAGCTTGATGAGCTCATTCTTTTTTGCCTTTGGATCCGGAGTAATTCCACGTTTCGTCAATTCATCTTTTAAATGCGCAATCTAAAAATCACAAGTCAAATGGTAACTTTCAAGACTCGAAGTAATTACAACTTACTGTCATCTTCTGGTAGTCAGCTTCAGAGTTCATTCTGCAGCACCTCTATTGCAAGTTTAGGTAGTTCAGATAGGGCTACAATAAAAGGGTTATTGATGCTATTCACACTACAGGAATCGCGATTGATTTCGGCACAAGGCTAGCAAGTCGACAAGTTTTATGGATCAGGATCAAACAGGGACTGAAGTGAATGCATAGTTTTATAGAGCCGTTTGCCTACCACCTATTTTGTTAAAGCTCTACGCATTTCACTTGATTCGGAATGGGTAGCCAGGTTGTAACATAGTGGTGAAGATTATCACAAGAATAGTGAGTTATGGGCAAAAGTCGAACCCCAGGCGGGAGTCGAACCCGCACCTCACGCTTTCCGGGCGAGTGCGCTATCCGTTACGCAGTTTCATAGAGCCATTTGCATAGCACCTATCTTGTGGAAGCTCTACGTTGATATTTCATTTGATTCTGAATGGGTAGCCAACTGGGGGCAAGACACCAGTTGGCTACCCATTACGAACGGAAACGGATAGCGCACTCGTCCGGAAAGGGGAGGTGCGGGATGGACTCCCGCTTAGGGTCTTTTGCCCTAAGCGGGAGTCCATCCCTGGGGGGGGGGGACTTTTGCCCATGACTAAGCATTCTTGTGATAACTCTCGGAAGGCGTAAAACAGCAGTTATCATGATATCGTGGTGAAAAATTTCTTTATTCACGCGTTTCTCTGTCTACCACCATCGAAAGACTGTCCATATCCCTATAACACCGCCAGCGGAAGAACAACACGCCGCCTCTCTGTCCATATAATACACGAAAAAAGAGAGCACAAACCAGTCTTACTTGAAAGCTACTGCTTTACAAACAGCCTAACATCCATTCGATAGGACTTTTGTGGCTTGTCTTCTTGCCATGGGGTTAGCGAGATGTGACACTTGTGTCACTCTACAAAGTGCGGAAATATGGCTAACGGCAGAGATAACATGATGTCGTTTGCGTCTCCGCCCACAAATAGCACGCAAACACGTAACACGCCACACAACCAGCCATGCGCCTAGCCACAGCCAAGCGTGCTATTTGTCTGCGCCCTCTCAGGTCTGATTGTTAATTACCTTTGGCCTCGTGTTCGTTGTGGGATTTCTCTATAGACGCGGAAGGTATCTTGAAGATACCGCAATGCTAAGATGCAAGCACCTACGAGCAGCTTCCTCAGATGTCATTTCTGTGAAGAAGTTGCAGCTGCAAACTTGCTTATCTCTCGCACGCTACAAGAATCGTGCTCGGAGGTGAGTGTACAGCATGTCTTCCGACTAGAGTCTACTGCCACTTTACAATATCTACGGAAATTGAGAACGCAACTAAGAAAACCATTTGTATTTCGATATCGAGCTCGAGTAGTGCAGTCCTTCCATGGTACGAAAAGACCGCATATGTGTGACCTGCAGCCTGCATTTAACTACTCCGTCGTGAAATTTATATGGAAATATTCATTAGCTAACAAAAGTATCAGAATGATACCACGCGTATGAGCATTAGTGTAGTATCGTTGAAGACAGTCTAGCGCTCAAGCAACGCGTAGGCGTACTTCCTCACAAATAGTCTGATCCTCATTCCCCAAGATT